ATTTTCTTACGTTCGAGCGGAAACATTCATCCTCTTGATATTTTTTCGATAAACCGTTGTCTTGAATATGGCGCCAAACGCATTGTCCAAAATGAAAAAGACAACCTAAAGTACATATTCGTCATTCTTAGAAAAGATATGTTTAAAAATTAGTTTACCTCTATGAATAATATTGGGGAAAACTTCTTTAATTGTTTTGATTGTGCCGGATTCGAAATCACTAAGTATTGATGCAGGTTCGAAGTCATCTTGTTCTAAAACTTTTCCAAAAAATTTCGTATAATCGGTGGCGTTTTTACCAATTAATAAACCATAAACAAGTGGAATAATCACAGATTTTAACAACGCATGTAATGTAAATAATTGATAGAATTCATCTGGACAGACCTGCAAAAACAAGAATAATTATATACAATAAAATTTTATTTATTCGAACCTTGAAGGTCCCGCCCATAAACCAATGCTTGCAGTTTTTTAATAAAGATAAATTCGTTTTTGTGGTAAAAATGATCATTTCATTATCTTCGTATAAAATAAATTCTTCTCCACGATCTGTTTTTCTTAAATTGTCAGGTACACGAGTATTTGGATCCGAACATAGTTTAGGACGCTGTCGTCGAATAGTTCTCATTAATGAATCGGATGATGGTAAACTACCAACTGCACTTAAAGGCATGAATCGTAATGAAGAATGTAGAATAGAGCTTGACGCTTCGTCGGATGTTGCTGCTTTAATTTTAACTTGGTTCTTAACTTCAATTGCGGGAATACGTTCTGGATCTGGAGCATGAGTATGTGTAGTTGGTTCTGACAAAAATGAATCCATAGTCAAATCCGTATGACATCGAGCTGAAAAGAAAACCAAAGTTTCTGTCATGTGTCTGGCATACTCATAAAAACTGTTTACCTTTGCAATCTCGATTTTGACACCGAAAAATGCATTTTATTATAGTTGTTCGCTCTAATGTATAAATATAACCACAGTGTATCACCACAAGTAACGTTCATCGTCAAGCGATTCACTTAGCCCTAGACTGATAGAATACATGTACGGATGGAATAGCATAAAAAGCTACATTAAAAAAGTAATACGCAACATTGATAATATGACCAGTATATCTTAGGCGACCAGAAAACTTAATTTGGAGAATTCTCACTCTAAGTAAAGATGATGCATTTACAAATTTAATTTTTTTTTATCGTTTTTGTTTTATTTTTTTTTTTGCTTTTATGAATATAAATAGCGCCTAATAAGATTAGACAACAATACGATTTTTTTATAATTATATTGGCGCTATTTGTACGTACAAAAATATGAATTATATTATTCATAAAATTTGAGTTTTATTAATCAATATTTTATGCTTAAATTCACCCATTAATTCTAAACTATTAATAAATTAGATATTCATTGATACAACATTGCACAATCAATCTTACAATAATGAATAATTTAAACGATTTCTTTAAATCCATACTGCTCATTTGGTCTGACTCTCACTAATTAAATGCTTGTGTAAGTAAGCCGTTTTACATCACTACCAAAATTATAGTTATTCCATTGACATTTTACCCATGATTATTATGGGTTCATTTACATCAGTCTTTAGATGGTCATTTGTACCATGATTGCTATATGGTCACTTGTGCCATAGTTATGTGGTCGTTTCTACCAAAAAAATGACCGTTTGTGCCATAGTTACATGCTCATTTGTACCATAGTTACCTAGTTAATTTTAGTAAAAAAATGGCCGTTTGTGCCAAAAAAATGGTCACTTGTGCCAAAAAAATGGCCATTTGTGGCACGAAAATGGTCACTTGTGCCAAAAAAGTGGTCGTTTATGGCATAAAAATGGTCACGTGTACCAAAAAAATGGCCATTTTGACTGCGTTACCGACAGACAGACAGACACAGGTGAATTTCGGTTTCTAGACGCTAGCCTTTCAGTCTTGGGAATAGAAAGAAAATCTTATTTTATTGGCTTTGCGCGCCATTCGAAATATATATTTATTTTTATTTTAACGATCACATAGTTACCATATGGTAACCATACGTGTTACAGACAGACAGACAGACAGACACAGGCGAATTTCCGTTTCTAGACCCTATACTTTCAGTCTAGGGAATAGGTTTTCCCTTTTCGGAGAGCAATTTTTCAATACGTGACATTTCTTGTAATCGCAAAAGACAAATGAATACGTGAAACAGTTTCTTTTACATATAAAAATATATATCAATATCTTAAATAAACGAGCTATTCTTAATTATCAGAACAAGCTTTTTTTTAAAAGAAAATTGTGTTTCATCTTATATATATATTAATTAAACTTAATCAATATCGCAATCGGCTTTGGCTCTTTCAAGTTATTTTGTACGAGAGAAAAAATAATACCTGATCTTATTTTTTGATTTATCTACATCATATCTTAGAAGACCATTTTCTGATACACAACAATGTAACGTTATGAAATATTACAACATTTTATTATTGCAACGTTTTGTCCATGTAACATTTTGCCCATGCGACTATTTGTCCTTGCGACGTTTTGTCCGTGCGACAAATTTTTTGCAACGATATGTCCGCAACGTTTTTTCCGCGACTATCTGTCCGCGACGAAATGTCCTGCAACGAATTGTCCTGCGACGATTTGTCCGCGACGTTTTTTCCTGCGACGATCTGTTCGGTCACCTCAATTGGTTCCTATTGAATATAGTCAAAATCCATTTTAGTGTCTATCAACGTGGTTCTCATATTCGAAATCTAAAAGGAAAACAAAAAGATCGTGTAATTTCGTTTCAAATATTGTTGAATTTGATATAAAGAAAGCACCTAAAAGAAGAATTATAATTTAGCTTATTTAGTCATAATATTACTCACCGCCTAGTGATCGAATACTTTTCATTGTTGCAAGTTGATCCAAATCGAGCGATGAGTCGACGTGTCGATGATTCACTAAATCTAGATGACGACCAGGTGGGAGTAAAGCTGTTTTAAAATCATTTATTTCTTCAGTGG